AGGTCAATATCCCATTTTTATAACTCCAAAACGTCCAAAGGACAATTCATTTGGTCTTGGGTAGTCAACACACACATAGACCAAGAATATGGGACTAAAAGCACATAATTTCTAACACTAACAAGATCTATAGATATAATCATCAAGTTCAGAACTTTATACCACCCGGGGGTTGCTCAAGAAGTGTAAAACTCAGATCTAAAAATCTTGGAACTCCTTCCTTTCTTTCTAATGGCTTATTTCCTTCAAAAGTGGACACCAAACACCAAAATAAGTTCAAAACACCATAAGTGGAGATTAGGGTTTGGTAGGGACGATTTGGGAGATGGAGGCTGATGAGGGAAGAGGACTTAAGGAGTTAAGAATGTTTAAATAGGGCTCAAACCCTAAAAATTAGGGTTTGGAAAATAGCTACGTTCGCCCAACATACATACATAGCTTCGTGTTTTTCATGTAAGTGCCAAGGGACCAATTTTGCAGACAATTCTCATATTAAGGGTCAAAGATGAAATTACTTGAACATAGGTGTCACGGCCATCATCTCTTGTATCTCTTCTATGCCGATAACATCATTTTTGTAGGTGATTGGATGCGAAGTAATCTTAAGAACTTAGCTCGTATACTTCGTTGTAGGCCTCCTTTGGTCTAAAAGTTAACTTCAACAAATCCAAGGTGTTCAGAATTGAGATTTTTTACCAATATTTAGATCGCAGAGCTAGATCGATTGGTTGTAATGCTGCCTATTTTCCATTTAATTACTTGGGGGTACCGAGGCGGAGTAAGTATGAATCCCATAAAAATTTGGTAGCCCATCGTCAAATGTGTACAAGCTTATCCATTTGGAAATCTAAAACACTATCCGGGATGCCCTGGGTCTGTTGGCCTTCAGCACAAAGCAGGATTGCCTCAACCCAACACACCATCACATATCAACATATCATATCAAACCTTAGCTAGCATATACAGGCAGTCATACAAATCTAACAGACCACTAAGCATAGCATCATCTCATATTCCATGATACAGATCTAACAAATCACTACAACATACAACATGCGATAAATCAAGATAACAATCGAAAAGGGTCAGCCTTGGTGCCTTCGACCTAAAAGTACAGTGAGGAAAACTCACTTCGCAGACTGAACAAAACCGATGAGGTCCGACTCCGATTCTCAGCTCTCTAACCGATACCTATTTCCACCAAGTGACCAATTCCATCAAAACCCCCAAATACCTAAAATACCCTCAAGGTCTAATTTGGTCAAAGTCAAAGGTCAAGGTCAACAGTCCATGTTGACCCAACACGTCGTGTTCCCCTTCGCCGTGTTCTGCCAACATCCAAACAGTTAGGAAAACCTCAGCCGACACGTCGTGTTGACTTGCAAACACGCCTTGTTTTCCTGAGTTCAAACAACTTAATACATTCAGCTGCCTCTTCGAATACAAGAGCTCTAAAGCTCAGACCAAATTATGATTAAGAAGGATAAAGTTTCCAACTTTATCCATTGGGACTTCCAAAAAGGTCCAAAACCCAAACGATAAAGCTTGATAATGCAATGGCTTAACCAATACTCACTTAATCCTTAAGGTCTGAAGTCCACCCTTTCCAGAAGTCATTCTAACACCTAAACCATCCCAAACGTTGGTGCTTTTTAGACATACATGTCCAATGCATGCCTTGAACCTATATTAGGTCAAAATGAGGATTTATGACCTAATCTCTATGCATGACATCAAAACTTGATTATAGACCAAATCTAAGACACTACTATGTCACCTTGACTTGTAGTCATAAAGTTGCAAACTTTATGAGATCTAACCAATTCAACATTCAAGAACAAGAAGCAAAAGGGATAAAACTCAAGATCTAACAACTTTAAATGATAAAAATTGGGTCTTGGACACTTACAAAACTCCAGAAGAGTGCCAAACTGAAGAATGGGGCCTTCTTGCTAGATATTTGCTTCCTTCTTCCACCTTCTTCCTTCTTTAGTTTCAAAAACACCAAACTAGCCTCAACAATGGGAGAGAATGATGATTAGCGTTTCTTTGAGGGTTTGAAGGGCTGGGGGGTTAACAAATCCTAGCCTATACATTCCTTTAAATAAGGAACAAACTGCGGAAAATTAGGGTTTCATTCCAACCATCAACACGCCGTGTTCCAAAAGGAACACGCTGTGTTGCCCAAAATGAAACCTGCGCTTTCGCATATCTGGACACGCCGTGTTGGTGCCTCCAATACACTGTGTCCAATCCTCGACTTCCGATTTTGGATTTTCTGACTTTTTGTTGCTTTGATTTTCTTATGCTACATTTCATACCATTTTATAACCGTTACTTTTTGTACAATTTCTAGCCTTTTGACAATTCTATCCATTGCATCATATTTCTTTCCCAAAACAAATCAACAAAAAACATTTATTGCCTTACATTTCTATTTTCTAGTCGTAATTTTCAATATTTATTACTTGGTTGGGTAAAATAAAACATTAAAGAGAAAAGGGATATCTCCAAAAAAGTCCCGATATTTTGGGCAAATTTTTAATAAAGTCCTAAATTTTATTTTTTGAATAAAAAAGTCCTGACTTTTTCATCTTTTGAATAGAAAAGCCCAAGAAACCGGCTAATTTATTCACTTTAGCCCTTTTTGACCTGTTCAGCAGGTCATGGGACAAAATTGTTAATTTTTCGAAAATAACGGGATTTTTTTTTGCAGATTTCGTTAAAAATTTTATATGATGCATAAACATATATTTTTTTTTAAATATCTATATCAATTTTTATGTATTTGTGTATCTTTTATGTTTTTATATGTACACATTTACATATTTTTATGTTTTTTAATATATTAACGTATTTTTTACTTATTTATATGTATTTTAGACCATTTTACATTTGTTTATGTATTTTTATGTGTAATTTTTTATGTATTATGTATTTTTACTTATTTATGTATTTTTAAGCTTTTTATATAGATGTTTATGTATTTTAAATGTATCAACGTATTTTTTACATATTTACATCTATTTTTAAGTATTTTACATATTTTTTATGTATTACGTATTTATGTATTCCTTTAAGTGTTTTATATAGATGTTTTTGTATATTTATGTATTTTAAATGTATAGATATATTGTTTTAAGTATTTATATGTATTTTTTTTTTAAAACTATTTTACATATTTTTTGTGTTTTTTTTATGTATTATGTATTTATATGTATTTTTGCATATTTATGTATTCTTTTAGTTTTCTTATATAGAGTTTTATGTATTTTTATGTATATTAAATGTTTAATTGTATTATTTTTACGTGTTTATATATTTTTACGTAAAAATAATACACTTTAGTATTTAATGTACATAAAAATACATAAACATCTATATAAGAAAACTAAAAAAACACATACATACGCAAAAATATATATAAATACATAATACATAAAAACACATAAAAATACACAAAAAAATATGTAAAGTGCTTTAAAATACATATAAATACGTAAAACAATACGTTTATACATTTAAAATACATAAATATACAAAAACATCTATATAAAAAACTTTAAAAAATATATAAATACATAATACATAAAAGATATGTAAAGTACTTAAAAATAGATATAAATACGTAAAAATACGTTTATACACTTACAATACATAAACATATATATAAAAAGCTTTAAAAATACATAAATATGTAAAAAAAATATATAAAAATACATATAAATACATAATATATAAAAAATAACACATAAAAATTATGTAAAATGGTTAAAAATACATAAAAATAAGTAAAAAAAAATATGTCTATACATTTAAAATACATAAAAATACGTAAATATATACTTATAAAAATATAAAAAATACAAAATACGTAAAAATAAATATAGATATGTAAAAAATATGTTTATACATTATATAAAAATTTTGACGAAATCTGCAAAAAGTCATTTTATTTTCGAAAAATTAACAATTTAGTCCCATGACCTGCTAAACAGGTCAAAAAGGACTAAAGTGAATAAATTAGTCGGTTTCTTGGGCTTTTCTATTCAAAAGGTGAAAAAATCAGGACTTTATTAAAAATTTACCAAAAATATCGGTATTTTTCTGGAGATATCCAAAAGAAAAATGAAAAAAAAAAACAAGGTGAAAGCATTATAAAAAGGAAGGGGAAGGTCAGCTCCAAAGCAAAAGAGAAAAATGAAACAAAATGCATCTCGGTGGCCTGATAGTTACTTGGGCTTCCAAAGTAATTTGTTTTTCATATTTTCGTAGTTTACTTGGTTTGAGCCAATGAGGCAATGACCGACTCTGATATTTAAAAAAAATGGTTTAGTTTTGGATGGGTTCATTTTCGGATTGATTTAGGACTGATTATGGATTGCAATGTATGCAGTCTCTAAGACCGAGTTAAAATTTGAGGACTGCTAAAAGACTGTTGAGCAAATATATGCAGTCTCTAACATCGAGTTAAAATTTGAGGACTGCTAAAAGACTGTTGAACAAATGTTTATTATGATACTATTAAAGTTAATGTCTTTGCTTCTAAAAAAATGTGTCAACACACCTATTTTGGTGAAGTTTGTAACTCTTAGTTCTTATGAATGAGTTTTTTTTAAGTAAAAAGGTTTTGGAACCTAGTTGATATGTGACTCACATTGGTTTTGTTCTTGTGCACATAGAAACCCTTAAGCTTGAGCTTCGGACATTATATGATTTCAAATTTTAATATTTTAATTAATTTCTATGTTTGAAAATTTGCTTTCTTTTTTCAATGCCTCAAGAAAAGGTCGCGTCACGTGATTATTAAAATATTTATTCAAATCAACCACCCATACTTAGAGGTTTACAATAAAAGAAACGTGTCTTTTTTTTTTTCTCTCTATTTTTTCTGTGATATCATGCATTTTAATTTATACATTTTATTATATTAGATAAAATTATATAGTATATATTATTCGAGTATACATCACTTCTATCTTCCCCCATATCTTTTGCAGATGGATTCATCAGATAAGATTGTTAAAGAAATTCGCGGAATCATTCAAGTATACGAAGATGGCCGATTCCAGAAACTCACCGGCACCGATGTCCTTCCCGCCGGCATTGATCCTTCCTCCGGCGTCCAATCCAAAGACGTCATCATCTCACCGGAAACCAACCTCTCCGCCAGGCTTTACCTTCCTAAAACCGCCACCAAAAAACTCCCTCTTCTAATCTACTTCCACGGCGGCGGATTCATCATCGAATCCCCCTTCTCCCCTCTCTACCATAACTTCTCAAACCTCGTCGCAGCTGAATCCAACGTCGTCATTGTCTCCGTTGACTACCGAACGGCGCCGGAGCATCCCGTCCCCACCTGCTTAAACGATTCCTGGGAAGCAATCAAATGGGTCGCTGGAAACTGCCCGGAGTCGTGGATAAACGACTATGCAGATCTTGAAAACGTATTCTTCGCCGGCGACAGCGCCGGTGCCACCATCGCCCACCACATGGCAATCCGGGTCGGGTCAGAAAATCCTAGATTGAGTATAAACCTACGAGGTATTATCCTGCTCCACCCGTATTTTTGGGGAGAAGATCGGATCGGATCTGAAGGCGAACACCCATGGAAGCCATTCATGGAGGATATATGGATCTTTGCCCACCCGGGAACAAGTGGGTTGGATGACCCGCTGATTAACCCGGATAAGGATCTGAAAGTTTCGGATCTCGGATGCTCCAGGGTACTGGTTTGTGTTGCTGAGAAAGATATATTGAAGGACAGGGGATGGTATTATAAGGATATTTTGGGTAAAAATGGGTGGAATGGAGATATTGAGGTTATTGAGGACAAAGAGGTAGACCATGTGTTTTTCCTATTTTACCCTTCTGCTGATAATGCTCTTACTTTGCGCAAGAGAATTTGTACTTTCATCAATGGCATCAACAACAATCCCGATATGTAATAGCATAATATTATATCGTTTAGTTTCTGAATTTGGTACTCAAGTGTTATTGTAAAAAATAAGTTATTGTTATGTTCTATAATGAAATTAAAAATATATATATATTTGCTTCATTTGAACAAAAAAAAGTGTGTGCTTAGTTTAATCAAATGAAATATAGTTAATTATCCTATTCTGTTGAGTTACATTACTTAGACAATATCCATTTCGCATTAGAATGGAATGAAAATTTTATTATAGCCAATTTTTATGTGGATTGACATGCATAAACCATTTAGTCTTTTATATATGTACGAAAACATAAACTCATAATTTCCCAACATCAACATTTCATTTATATATGAAACAGTTGGTTTTCATCATACAGATTACACAGAAAACCTCACTACAATAACTCTCAGCTCTCTAATGAACAACAAAAACAAGATCAAAAGAATATGAACTGAAACCCTGGTACAAACCCTAAAACTATAGCGAACAATCTTTATGAGAGAATGAATCTGTCATCTGAACTACACAAATGAAGGATAATCAGCTTTATATACACCGGGTCAAACCCGGATCCAAGTTAAACAACCCGCGTAGTAAACACCTGGAAAATCAATATATACCACAACATTTTTCCATTATAAATGACAAGTTTGTATTATATATATAACCTTTTAACACCCCCTCTCAAACTTGTCAATTTATACAAATTTATTTACCAGAAAACAAATTTACAAGACCAAGTCTCTTTGACAAGAACTCATGCTGAAAAAAAACTTAATGATTTAGTTAAAATGTCTGCATTTTGATTAGAAGAATTAATCTTAACTAATTTTAAAACATTATTTTCAATCTTTTCTCTTACAAAATGCACATCAACCTCAAAATGTTTTGTTTTTTCATGAAAAACAGGATTTAAAGCTAACTTAATAGCAGATTCATTATCACAAAACAATTTAACAGGAGTTAAACTTTTGAAACCAAGATCACTTAAAATCTTTAAGACCCACAAAACTTCACATGTTACAGAACCCAAAGCACGGTATTCAGATTCTGTTGATGACCTGGACACTGTGCTTTGTTTCTTACTTTTCCAAGAAATAAGAGTGTTTCCTAAATAAACCAAATAACCAGAAACAGATCTCCTAGTTGTTAGACATTTGGCCCAATCAGCATCCACATAACCAACAACATCAAAACTATTAGATTTAGAAAACAAAACACCTTTACCAGGACAATTTTTCAAATACCTTAATAATCTGAACGCAACACTTAAATGTGATTTTCTTGGCTTATGCATAAACTGACTTAATACTTGGACAGCATAACTAATATCAGGTCTAGTAACAGTGAGATAAATCAATTTTCCTATAAGTTTCTGAAATTCTGTTATATTAGTTATAAGATCAGTATTATCATCACAATCTCTGTTAAACACAAAATTGACTTCCAAAGGAGTTTTAACAGGTTTGCATGCCAGCATACCAAATTCATGTAATAACTCCAAACAATATTTTCTTTGATTTAGACATACACCATTACTAGTAGACAAAACTTCAATTCCCAGAAAATATTTCAACAACCCTAGATCCTTAATTCTAAACTGTGACTTAAGAAATGATTTTACATTTTCAATTTCAACACAACTGTTACCTGTTAGAATTATATCATCAACATATACTAACAAAATAACAATGGTGTTATTTTTTGAGCGAACAAATAAAGAATAATCATTTATACTTTGAACAAAACCAAAAACCGACAAAGAAGAGCAAAGTTTCTCATTCCACTTTCGTGGAGCCTGTTTCAAACCATATAAAGACTTCACCAATTTACAAACTCTACTATCATTTTGTGACATCCCCAAAATCACGGCCAGAAAAGACCGATTTTGTTTATGCTTTATAAAAATCAGAGTACTTCATTTTATAAAAAGCTTGCGGAATTTGTTCCCAGAAAAACATGGTAAATACGTTATTAAAACATTTTCGAAGAAACGTATTTATTTCATTTTAAAACATTTGGGATGTCATCGTTAATACAGGAACATAAGCATAAACAGAACTTACAATTATTCACACTAGTGGTCTACATCTCTTTAAATCTCTCAGTGTAATGTCGCTTCATATCAACACCTGTGGTATAAATAAACTGAGTGGGTCAGGTTGGGAAACCTGGTGAGCACATAGGGATTTCAATCCCACAATGTTATACCATATATATAGTTTAAAATTCACAAAATATACAATTTCACCATACATATATATAAACAACTCTTATCCCACCCCGTCGATCCTCGCAACGAGGCTATCCATACTCTCGGACCTAAGATTAGTCGTTTTACCTACTCCATACTCTCGGATCAGAAATGAACGAATTTACCAAATCCATACTCTCGGACTAGGGACGAATGACTAATCCATACTCTCGGATTAAAGATGAATGATTATGCCTAATCCATACTCTCGGACTAGGGACAATAGCTAATCCATACTCTCGGATTAACGAATGATTATGCCTAATCCATATTCTCGGACTAGGGACAATGACTATGTCTAATCCATACTCCCGGATAAGTGACATATACTAACTTCTATTCTCTGAGTTTAACTCACTTGTACTCGTAAGAATATACTACCCAATATTCCTCATATTTAATTTAGGTCTACTCTTTATCCTAAATTATCAAATATAATCAGGTATGTTCTTTAACACGAATTTCAAGCAACATCAATTAACTCGCACATAAACATATAATTAATACTTCAATCAATACTTGTATTAAAATCATGTTCATGAAAGGGACTATGCACTCACCTGAGAAGGTGGTGACTCGGTACTCGGACAGCGCTTCGTTTACTTTAAAATAATTTCCTTCGACGAAACCTAGTATTATCACCAATAGATTTTAGTCTATTATTCGCCGAGACTAATTAATAGTCTAGCTATTATTACTATTATATAAGCGTTAAAAAAATACTTATATAACCCATAATAATAGCCCAAGTATTTATTATATGTTCTTAATAACGTTAATATAATTAAATAAAAACTATATTAAAAATAGCGTAGGCGTAGCTCACTTACAGCGGGTTTTATAGAAAACCAGGCTTTGCTTGGAGCAGCGTTTCCGAGCCGAAAAGCTCTTCTTCTCGGAGCCGTCGAGCACTCCGGGGCTTCCGCCTCGTGCTAGGGAGGTTCCCTAGGCTTTTCGGGGGATTTCGGGGCTAGAGAGAGGTTCTAGAGAGAGAGTAAAGAGAAGAAAGAATGGGAAAGGTGTGAAGAAAATGAGGGTGGGAGAGGTGGTATTTATAGGGTGAAAATGGCTGAACTTGGTGCCACATGTCACCATCTAGTGGCAAGACTTGGGGAGAAAGCAATGGCCAAGATTGTGCCACATCACCCATTTTCGCACAACACACTTCCGACTTCTAAAATCCGTAACTTTCACATACGACCTCCGTTTTTGACGTTCTTTATATCCACGCGTAGGTAAAAATAATATCTACAACTTTCATTTTGACTCCGTCGGCTAATTCTCGACCGATCTTAAATTTAACAGTACGAGGCGTTTAGACTGTTAAATGACCGCGAAGAATTCGTAACTCCTTCATACGGACTCCGTTTTCGTCTGTCTTTTTACCGTTGAGTTCCTATTAATGAGATCTTCAACTCTCATTTATTTCACGTAAGCCAAAAACCGCTCGAACTAAAATTCGAGTTTCGGGCTGTACACTGCTAAGCCGAATCTTAGAAAAATCATAACTTCCTCATACGAAGTCAGATTTGGGCGTTCTTTTTATCGACGCTCTTAGTTTAACATATTCTACGACTTTTGTTTAGATTGCTAAGGCTAAAAAGTCTTCTATCGTAAATTCACTATTTACGTCTTCCGGTGCCGTGCCGGTTTTGCCGTAAAACTTCGGCGGGCCATAACTTCTTCGTTATAACTCGGATTTCGGCGTTCTTTATATGTACGGAAACCTTGTGACATATTCTAAAACTTGGTTAAGACTATTCATTCTAAATAATCTTTTGTCGAAAAGTCATTTTTGACCCCTATTGCCTCTAAATTGACTAGCCCGGATCTGCGGGCGTTACAATTATCTCCCCCTTAGGATGATTACGTCCCGGAATCATCAACGAAACAAGGATCGTATAATGACTCCATACGTCATCTCTTCATCCTAGGTAATAATTATAACTTCTTTATTCCTTCAAGTCTATCTCTTAGACTTATTGACTGTAAGCAGTACTTGATCGTGCACCTGCTCTCTACCTCATATTAGACTCCAAATTATGACCTATCATCATGTGATGTACGTTTAGACTCAGGTCTCTTAAATTCTAAAACAGACTAAGCCTTCCTTCATGTTCTAATGTGATATAATCATACTTTAACATGTAGCATTTCTAGCTACCAACGAGCGCGATACTTCTATTGATCGCTTTGATTTTAATCGTTTGGTTTAAGTCGGACGCTATATCAAACTTGGTTCTCTGAACCACGTAACCTACTCATCGTAGTCGGACTCAAGGTGATATGACCACTAGGGTCGGGATAACAACAATCTTCTTAGTCATTACCGAAACAATGGTAACGGCATACTTGAATAAAACGAAATCAATTACTGGCTTCTTGGTAACCTTGTGACTTTCCCTGATCCAAGTGTGAGTCCTGTGCTTCCGGTAGTATAGGCCTCTACTACCATTCACACCTACTCATACTCGTCCCAAGTATTGTCCCGCAGTTTTTCCAAGTCACCATACAAGAAAACCATACAACAACTTAACACATCAGATAACAAAACAAAGGTTTTATATTATTTCTTGAAACTGTTACATAGGTGTTCAAGTTCACCCTAGACTATGCCTCTAACGGGCTACATCGTGAGGTACTATCTACACGATTACTCCATAACTCGATCCTCGGATGTCAAGCCTTCACTCTTGAATCCTTGCATTGTCATCTGCTTCGTCAAGGATCATTTGAAATGCTCTCGCCTTTGGCT